GCTCCTTACTCAGTGAGACAGGGCACGGCCCTAGGGCGCACTGTCATTTTTCTTGCTTGCTCCGCCGATGGTAACGCGGCATGTCGGTAGCAGTATGCTTGGGGTCCGGGGATATCGCAAGCTTCGACTACCACAGCCAGCTGTTGTCTGTTCTTCCAGAGTCCCAGGAAAGGCAGAGAGTCAGTGACGGCTATAGTCTCGGCAGCATACCGAAGGGATGGTCGAGCTGCATTACCATGGGCTGGTGTGGAAGCTGGGACGACGAGATGTTCGAGCGCTTACCTTCGTCCGTCGCGCCATCATCCAACACTTTAGGGCAGACGTCTTTGTACTTCGGCAGACGCCTCTTGAGCTTGAGCTTGAACATCCACACGAGTTTGCCTTGGAGTGCTGCTCTTCGGTGCATTAATCTAATTTTAGTCCAGTAATGACATAGGTGTGTGTCCCGCATACAAATTTGCACATTGTAGCTTGAATAACCAATATATAATTTCTGGCATACCGTAGTGACCCCTAAAATGTGTGCGCTGCCGCTGGGTACTACCAGGCACTCCTGAGCCTCTACGCGTGCGCTACCCGACAAGGGCAGATGCGGTGGCTCAGGGTAGCAAGCGCCCTCGCTACGTAGTCAGACGCTGCTTCCTGATGTCAGCCCGAGTCCGAGTCAGCCGAGTCAGCCGCCCTCAAGCCGCGTTCCCCGCGGTTGAGAGCGGCGGCAGTCCATCCACCACATATAGGCGGACACCACATGGGACAGGGAGTCTCGTCCTGGCAATGAAATTGACCGTCTCGTCTCGCCGTCGTGATGGCGAAGAGGAAAGACGCGTAAGAGGGACCGCCGCCAGATCTGGGCATAGCCTTTGTGGCACAAGCGCCTGCTGGTGTGGCGGAAGAAACAAAATTGCTGCGCTTCAGAAGTTCTGCACAGGAATAGACCAGAGCCAGGGTTTTTTGGGGGCAGAAGGCATAAGCTGTTTCTATATATTTTCTGCAACATGAAGGGTCAATATTCTGCTCTGTTAAGGCCAACACTGACCACGACAATTTTAGTTCGCTCAAACGTTTCATCCTCTACGTTCTCAGTGTCCGCTCAGAGAAAAAACACGAAGAGAGTGTGGCGTCTCATGGCGCTCGGCCATTTTGCATTGGTCTTGCACCTCAAATTTTATCATTGCAGATTGCTGTTTTACTGCACTCTAATTACCCACTCTTTGCTTGACTGCCATGTACGAGGACATGCATAAGCTTGAGAAAAGTCAATGAACCGTTCATGCATGACAGCGTGCCCAGAGCATATGATGAGAATCGTCAACTGGTAGCGGTGCTCGCGGACTCCAATTGGGAAAGTACAACTGGGCAATAATAGGCAGCTCTATTTTACGAACATTATGCCGATGATATACGTAGTCTAAATGGTCCTTAAATAGTCTAAGTAATTACAGGGTTGAATCAATGATTATGAGTCCCATAGGGGGCCGAACGAATGCATGCCGTTCTCTTTGCAACCCTGCATCAGCTCCGCATTGCCTTGGGGGTTGGACGTAATGATGATGACTAAGAAGCAGACAGTCAGCTACGGCCTATGATAGCAATTGCAAGCTAGCGCACCTTCTGCCTTGAACGAATCGTACACATCACGGAGCATCTGCATGGTGTCAGGCCGGCAACCGCGCTCCTTGGTGTCAAACAAGATATAGCGATCCTTTGGGATAGTGCGGGTGATCATGTCGAAGAGGACGGGCCCAAACGTCTTCTCCATATCGGAACCGATCCAGATAAGGAACCAGTTGTCCAGCTGCGCACATGTGGAGAGCACGGCCCCGACACCAGAACCCGTACAAATGCAGATGCCGCGGCGGAAGAGATGGGCAAGGTACGGCAGCCCAGCGAACTATCGACGCAACTCAATCAGCGACAACTCAAAATCGGGAGGAGTGGTGCCGGGTGCTCACCTTCATCTCGCGTGTGTAGAGGAATTTGGGCGGGTCCGCGACAAGCCCGCGTGTCCAATCGCCTTGCACGCCCGCAATCATGTAATGGGTTCCGCTCTCGATGCCTTCGGAGATAATGCCAAAGCCGTGGTATTCGCCCACTGCGCTTCGGCTGATACGGCCGAGCAGCCCCTGCTGAATACCCCTTTGGAACTTGATGACGGCCAGGCGTGGCGAAGGCGCCGTGATCTCGACAGGGACCTTGCGGACGGTGAGCCACGGGGCGATGATGCTATTTTGCAGGTTAGCGGCAGTGGCGCAAGGTATGAACTAGTGTGCTCACATAAGAGTGACAAAGACGGTGTACCAGAGCTCTTGCATTTTTATCAAGCGGCGGCCGTTGGGATAGAACTGTCCGGTGGCAGGGTCGTAGCTGTCTGACGTACAGACGAAGATCCAGATGAACACGATGGAGGCCCATCCGGCAAAGCGATGGTGATACTCAAAGAAGCTGTCACAGTGGACCTGATCAGTGCCCGATCACCCATATAAGCAGGCGCGTACTCACTTGTGATGATGATGGCGGATCCACGGAGCCGCGGCGACCATGACAACGACTGAAACCACGAGCGTGATGATACCCCAGGCAAGGACGACCTTCGAGGTATGCTGTATCGTGTGGCGCTGAAACGTGCGGACGACACTGAAGATGAACCATGCGATGCCTGACGTCGCGCAGCCTGAGTGGATACCTCCAATGTGCTGGATGAAGCTCGTCAGGAATATCCGCCACCAGAGCGGCGACCACTGCAGTATACATGGTCAGCGCAGTGACTTATAGGGACTCGGGATGTCGACGTACCTTCTGGAACACTTTGACAGTCGGCCAGAAGACGAAGTAGCGGAGGAAGAATTCGTTACGGCATGCGACCGCTGCGGCGAAGTTCCCGAGGGCAAAGGCAGCGATGTGGTTGTCCGCATATGGCCAGTGTCCGGTGGAGGTGATGACGATGCCGACCATGTTGAGGACGAAGGCAATTGTGAAGAGCTGCAAAACGGAGGTGAGGAGCTGTCGGGAGGACTCATGCGAGATACTCACTATCCGGTATGGATTGTACCACACCCTAAACCTGATCCAGCGACTCGTGGGCTCGAGCCTGCTCTTCTGGCCTCTAGGCAGGACCGGTACAGAGTACGTTACGAGTGAGTTCTCAGTCTTCGTGACGTCTTCGCCCTTCTCCAAGTCATGCACGGAGCATGTCTTCGAAGAACTCGCGGAGTAAAGGGCGTGTGCGGAAGAAGGCCAGTGGGACGTCGGGGCGAAAGGAGGAATGGTAGCAGAAGACATCTCGTTCGAGAGCTCTATCGTCAAGTAGCTGCGAAGCTGTCACCGTGTGGGCTGGTCCTTGGTATTATTGAGAATCTGCTTTTATACTTCTAGCTCATGTGGGCCTCAAGAAGACAACGACAGACGCTGTAATTGTGGTGCACTGCATCAGCATCTGCTTTGGCAGTGCCGACAGCTTTTCGATGACAAGGTCCAGATTCGCGCGGCCAACGGACACAGGTTTTCCATGCGAGCATGCTTGGATCGGAATCCGGTGGCGTGCGGCAGCGCTCCTTCGTGAGGTTGACGGTGCGTAGAGGGCATATTGCACTCCACCGAACGCTCATCCTTCCCACCAGATGTCATGTACACTCGTGATTGAAGCCTTCACCACGTGCGTAGCCTCGGGCAGGCGGTAGATGAAGTAAGAGAACAATGGCAAAGAAGTCCAAAGAAGCTCTTCACAGTAAGCCTATCAGAGCTAAAGCGTCAGCAATCGATAGCTATTTCCTCCAAGCTGTACAGCGACTCACAGCCATAAATGGGACAAGCGACCACGGAAACCCGTCTCCGATCGCCATAAGTCGGTCTCTGTACGTTTCGGCTGAATCGTCAGGGCGGATTCGCATGCGGTGCTCGGAGTCGGCGGAAAAAAGATGGCAGGCGATTTTGACAAGACGAATCAAATTGACGCGTCTAAGCGATATGGACCTTCGCAGATCGGAGTGAGCTCGGAATTCCAGCTTATGGATAGGAACTGCGAACACACCGACAAGG